CGGCACAGCAGGATCACGGGCCCCTCAGATCCTCTTACTTAAAGCCTGCCACACCTCCAAGGGCTCAGCCTTAGACCTTCTACTAAAACCCCAAGTCCGAAGCTCTAAACCCTAAACCCCAAACCCAAAACCCTAAACTTAAAAACAACCCTAAACCCCAAAACAAACCCAAAACCCTGAACTCAAAAACAAGCCCTAAACCCTAAGCCCTAAACGGAGGACATCCCAGGGGTTCAGGATTTCAGGGAGCCTGCAGACGGCGCCGTCCGGAAGAGGCTCCTGCTCAGGCGTGCCACACTACAGAGTGCGGGAGGAAGGGTTTAGGGTTTAGGGCTTCGGGTTTCGGGTCTAGGGTTTAGGGTTTAGGGTTTAGGGTTTAGGGTTTCGGGTTTCGGGTTTCGGGTTTAGGGTTTCGGGTTTCGGGTTTCGGGTTTAGGGTTTAGGGTTTAGGGTTTAGGGTTTAGGGTATAGGGTTTAGGGTTTAGGGTTTAGGGTTTAGGGTTTAGGGTTTAGGGTTTAGGGTTTAGGGTTTAGGGTTTAGGGTTTAGGGTTTAGGGTTTAGGGTTTAGGGTTTAGGGGGGTTCAGGGTTTAGGGGGGTTTAGGGTCTAGGGTTGAGGGTTGAGGGTTGAGGGTTGAGGGTTGAGGGTTGAGGGTTTAGGGAGCTTGGGGTTTAGTGAGTTTAGGGTTTAAGGAGTTTAGGGTTTAGGGTGTTTAAGGTTTAGGGAGTTTAGGGTTTAGGGGGTTTAGGATTTTAGGGTTAAGGGTTTTAGGGTTTAGGGTTTTAAGGTTTAGGGCTTAAGATGTAGGACTTTTAGGTTTTAGGGTCGCGAACCCGAACCCTAACCCATGGCGCCATATAATCCGAAAACGAACCGACAAGGGAGGCCTGCCTACCCCCCTCACCCCCCACCCACAACAAAACCCAAAACCAAAAACGCAAAACCCAACACCCTAAACCCCAAACCCTAAACCCCCCCTGTAAGCTACCAGAAGTGCGCCTCACAACGCAAAGCATTCAACACTCAGCCCCCTAAACCCTGAACCCTCGTAAACCCCCGAAAAACCCCAGAACCCCTGAACCCCCAAAACCCCCTAAACCCTAAAACTCGAAACCCTCCTCCCCAAACCAACAACCCCCTAAAACCACCCTAGAACCCTAAACCCTAAACCCTGTAAGCCCTATAAACCCTCTAAACCCTCTAAACCCTCTAAACCCTATAAACCCTATAAACCCTATAAACCCTAGAAACCCTAGAAACCCTATAAACCCTATACACCCTATAACCCCTATAACCCCTATAAACCCTATAAACCCTGTAAACCCTATAAACCCTATAAACCCTATAAACCCTATAAACCCTATAAACCCTATACACCCTATAAACCCTGTAAACCCCAAACCCCAAATCCCCCCGCCCTCTCCACCCACTCCGACCGCTCCCCATGGCCCTCTGGCCCCATGGCTTCATGGCCCCAGCGGCCCTAGGCCCTAAGCTGAGTTTTAAGGGCTCCAGTGCATGCCCGCTTCCTCCACTCCCCCCGCCCTCTCCGCCCACTCCGCCATGGCCCTCTGGCCCCATGGCTTCATGGCCTCAGCGGCCCAGGGCCCTACCTCCATGGTCCCATGGTCCCAGCCTTCCATCATAGACGCTAAGCTGAGTTTTAAGGGCTTCAGCGCCCACTCCGACGCTCTGGCCCCATGGCTTCACGTGAGTTTTAAGGGCCCCAGTGCATGCGCTCTCCGCCCCAAGGCCTTCCCCACCGTTTTAAGGGCTCCAGCGCATGCCCGCTTCCTCCACTCCCCCATGCCTTCATGGTTTCAGCGGCCCAGCGCCTACCCCCAGGTCCATGGCCCAGCCCAAACCCTAAACCCTAAACCCCAAACCCTAAACCCCAAACCCCCTGAAAAGCCCTCGAAAAGGTGCAACACACAAAGAGGCTCCGGCCTCCGGCGCTGGCGGGGCCTCCGGAGGCCCGGCCTCCTCCAAACAGAGCCGCGAAGCTCCATTGAGTTGAGGGTTTAGGGTTTAGGGTTTAGGGTTTGGCTTGGGGTTTGGGGTTTAGGGTTTGGGGTCTGGGGTTCGGGGTTTGGGGTTTAGGGTTTAGGGGGTTTGGAGTCAGAGTTGTTTGCAAGACTCTAAACCCTAAGTCCTAAACCCTAAACCCTAAACCCCAAACCACCCCCTCCCCCCCCCACCCCCCACAAATCCAGTGAGAGGCCTGTCCGGTAGAAGGCCCCATGGCCTGAGCTTTCGGAGGCTCAAAGCCCTTTAGGGCTTAGGGTTTAGGGTTTCGGGTTCAGGGTTTAAGGGTTAAGGGTTAAGGGTTTGGGGTTTAGAGTTTAGGGTTTAGGGTTTAGGGTTTAGGGTTTAGGGTTTAGGGTTTAGGGTTTAGGGGTTAGGGTTTAGGGTTTAGGGTTTAGGGTTTAGGGTTTAGGGTTTAGGGTTTAGGGTTTAGGGTTTAGGGTTTAGGGTTTAGGGTTCTCTGCAAGTGAGGTAGGCTACAGGCTTTTGGAGATAGGCGGTTGGCCCGATCCAACTCTTCTCACCCTGAACGCTAACCCCTCAAGACAAAATAGAAATTGTATGCGGTACCATTCGGAATTTCCAAGTTATTTCTCTAAACAGCTGACAAGCCGAGTTTAAGTCTGAGGCCCCCTCCCCCCCCCTCCCCGGCAAAAGGGGAGGGGGGGGGGGGGAAACCAAACGGTCAGAACTTTCGGTCAAAACGTTTCGGTCAAAACTTTCGGTCAAAACCCTTTGGGACCAAAACCCTATACAATTTCTATAAACCCTAAACCCTAAACCCTACCGAAGAGCTCGAAAGCCCTAGAGGCCGAATCAAGCTCCCTGTGCTGAGGCACAAGCCCTGGGCTCGGCTGACGTGCTCGTCCTTGGCAAGTGAGCTGGGAAGCCTAAAACCTACACCCATCAAGGATTCGGGTTTAGGGTTTAGGGTTTGAGATTTGGGGTTTGGGGTTTAGGGTTTCGGGGTGTTGGGTTTAGGGTTTGGGGTTTAGGGTAGTTACATGGGCCCTTCGCATGGTCCCTTACCTCCCTTAAAGGGTTTCATTTGTGTAGGGTAGATAAGGGGCATATAAGGGGTCCCCTCTTCAGGGCTCACTCCCCTGTAACGAACCTACTAGACCCCCATTGCTCTAAATTTTCAGCCCCCAACCCTAAACCCTCAACCCTCAACGACCAACCTCAAACCCTAAAGCCCTAAACATTAAGTCCCAAAACCCTCTGAGCCCTAAACCCCCAACCCCAAACCCCAAACCCCAAACCCCAAACCCCAAACCCTAAACCCTAAACCCTTGGCTGAGACCCGGGCATGCTCAAAGGATCCCCGCAGCCAGGCCGCCCAGTCGCCGCTTTTGGCGAAGCATCGCGTGCTATGGGCTTTAGGGATTTGGGGATTTAGGGTTTAGGGATTTAGGGATTTAGGGATTTAGGGTTTAGGGTTTAGGGTTTAAGGTTTAGGGATTTAGGGTTTAGGGTTTAGGGTTCAGGGTTTAGGGATTTAGGGATTTAGGGGTTTAGGGGTTTAGGGTTTAGGATTTAGGGATTTAGGGATTTAGGGTTTAGGGTTTAGTGTTGAGGGTTGAGGGTTGAGGGTTTAGGGTTTAGGGATTTAGGGTTTTAGGGTTTAGGGTTTAGGGTTTAGGGTTTAGGGCTTAGTATTTAGCAGGGTTTAGGGTTTAGGGTTTAGGGCTTAGGGCTTAGGGCTTCAAGGGCTTAGGGTTTAGGGATTTAGGGCTGAAAAGGGTTAGGGTTGTAGGGTTCAGGGCTGAAAGGGTTTAAGGTTCAGGGCTTTGGGTTTTAGGGTGGGGGCTTAGGGTTCAGGGCTTAGAGGGTTTTAGGATGTAGGGTTTGGGGCTTGAAAAGCTTGAGGACATAATACAGCGCTCAGGGCTTCCCCTCTCGAGTACCCTAAATGCAAACGCCGCACGGTGACGTGTACCCATCCAGAGAACTGACTGTGTGCTGGTGCAAGATTGAACCCACAGCTCGAGATATACCAAGGGCTTAGGGACCCTAAACCCTAAACCCTAAACCTCAACCCTAAACGCAAAATCCCTAAACCCTAAACCCTAAACCCGGTTTAGGACGTCCGGCTTTTGTACATGTAGCCCTTCGGCCTGGGAACTGTCGATCGGGTGCTCTCAACCACCCTGAACCCTAAGCCCGCGGCGATTATGCTCGGATGGTGGGATGTGCGGTTTGGGGTTTAGGGTTTAGGGCTTTAGGGCTTAGGGCTTAGGGTTCAGAGTTTAGGGTTTAGGGTTCCGGGTTTAGGGTTTAGGGTTTAGGGTAAACCCTAAACCCCAGAAACCCTGAACCCCTAAAACCCCCAACCTCTACTCATACAACCCCGGAAACCCTAAACCTAAATCCCCCAAGAAACCTAAACCTAAACCCCCCCTAGAAACCCTAAACCTAAACCCCCCAAGAAACCCTAAACCTAAACCCTAAACCCAGAACCCGAAATCCCAAACCCTAAACCCTAAACCCTAAACACTTAGGACCGATCCTTGCTTTTCTCCATTGGCGCTCCGCAAAAGCTGAGTGTGGGAGACTGCAGTGTGTCCCAAAAAGTTTAGGGTTTAGGGTTTAGGGTTGAGAGTTGAGGGTTGAGGGTTGAGGGTTGAGGGTTGAGGGTTTAGGGTTTAGGATTGAGGGTGTGCCCGCTTTAAGGGCATTCGAGGCTTCAGGGGCTTTAGGGGCTTTAAGGGCTCCGACGGCTGAAGGGTTTCTATTGTTTCGGGGTTTCGGGTTTCGGGTTTCGGGTTTAGGGTTTAGGGTTTAGGGTTTAGGGTTTAGGGTTTAGGGTTTAGGATGATTCTGGTGCGTTCTGGTTTTTGCGGTTCCCGGTCCGGGGTTTAGGGCTTTAGGGCTGTATGGTTTGGGGTATTGGGTCTAGGGCCTGCCAAAAACCAGAACTCTAAACCCTAAACCCGTAAACCCCTAAACCCCCAAGCCAGATAGACCCTCAAGCCCTACAGCCCTGGCCCGTACGGCCCGAGGGGATCCACGCGCCCGGCAGGGAGCTCACTCGCCACAGTCGGGGGGAGCGGCTTCTGGCACAATCTTTAGGGTTTAGGGTTGAGGGTTTAGGGTTTAGGGTTCGGGGTTCAGGGTTTGGGGCTGAGGCCTTGGGGTTTTCGATTTTAGGGCTTAGGGCTTGGGGTATAAGTTATAAGGTTGAGGGTCTGGGGTTTCAGGGTGTCTGGACTGTAAGGCTTTGAGGGTTGAGGGTTTAGGGCTTCAGGGCTTGACGGCAGGACTCTGAGTTTAAGGGATGGGTTTCAGGGGCTTCGCCGGCGAAGTCTAGGGTTTACATAGAGTTCAGCATCTCAAGTACAAGCATTGTTATACACACCCGCCTTTAGAATCCCATAACATTACGAAAACATGAGAAAACCTCAGCCGGAAAGCTCTTGAAAGCCAGCTACGAATGCGGCGCCTGGTTGGAAGCCTCTTGGATGAAGTCGGCGTTCTTCTTTAAAGCATCCGCCGCGTACCTGAAACTGGGTTCTGGCCAGGGAAGTTAGAGAAAACTAACCGTAATAGTAATCATCATGATAAGGATAATGATAATACTGATAATAATAATGATAATAATAACAATAACAAGAATAATAAGGGATAATACATGACCTACTTGCTGGCTTACATGGCCCGTTTATGGTAACTAATCTTCAAGCTCCCCAACAAGAACCTGGGAAAGCATCTGAAAGCGAGCTTTACCAGGAACCCTAACCCTCAATCCTAAAACTCTAAACCCCCCAAAACCCTAAAATCCTAAGACCCTAGAACTATACAACCCTAAAACCACTACAACCCTCAACCCCTAAAACTCCTAAACCCCTAAAACCCTAAAACCCCTGAAAACCCTAAACCGCCCTACAACCCTAAACGGCCCTACAAGCCTAAAACCCTGAAGCCCCCAAAACCCCTAAACCTACAAACCCCCTCGCTCCGGCGCACATCAGGGAGCGCTTGCTCTGGCGGGCTGCAGCAAGAACGATGTCCCGGTCGGCTCGCAGCTCCTTGCGCGCTCGAACACGTAAACCTTTAGACCCTTAAACCCTTAAACCCTTGAACCCTCAAACCCTAAGCCCTCAAGCCCTAAAGCCTTGAACCCTGAAACTGTAAGCCCTCATCCCTCAAACCCTAAACCTTTGAACCCTGAAATCCCTAGACCCTAAGCCCTCAGCCGTGAGGGTTCGAGGTGAAGGTGTGCAGCACCGTCAGAAAGGCCAAGGGATTAGGGTTTAGGGTTTAGGGTTTAGGGTTTTGGGTTTAGGGTTTAGCGCTGAGGCCTTCTTGGAGGATCCGGGGTGGGAGCCCATTTTCGGGCACCAATACCTTTGCTTGTGATAAGGATTGCTTGGAAGGCCTTTTGCCTTTGTAAGTCTACTTAGTATCCCAAGAAACCCGTGAATAATCCCCATAACTCTACTTACTAACGCCACTTACTAAGTCGGGCTTCCAAGTAGATCTTCAGGGTTTAGGATTTATCTTCAGGGTTTAAGGCTTACGGATTTGGGTCACTGCCTGCGCCGGCCTTTTTAGTGGCATAGGGTCTGGAACTTAACCTTAAATCCTAAAGCACCTCAACCCTAAACCCTAAACCCTAAACCCTAAACCCTAAACCCGAAAGCCTAACCCCTAAACCCTAAACCCGAAACCCTAAACCCTAAACCCTAAACCCTAAACCCTAAGCCAAGCGTCAAGGGCTTAGTCGGTGCTCCTCCGCCGCGTAGCGGAGAGCGGCGCCTCGCTGGCAGACTGCCGCGAGGACCACGTCGCGGTCCTGGCATTCTAGGGTCCGTAAAGGGAGACTCAGGGGTTTAGGGTTTAGCGTTTAGGGTTTCAGGTTTAGGGTTTGGGGTTTAGGGTTTAGGGTTTAGGGTTTAGCTCTAAACCTTATTCGGGCCCTGGTTCACAACCAGATGAAGCCTCAGGTCCTATGGCCTCCGCCTTAGACTTTCTCTGAATCCTTGCAGAGTCGGCCTCATACCTTTGGGGCCCTACTAGGATTCAGGGTTTAGGGTTGAGGGCTTAGGGTTTAGGGTTTCGGGTTTAGGGCTTAGGTTTTATAATCCCAGAATGCACCTTAAGCCCGACTGTGCTTCATAGGGGTCTGGCAGGGCTGGCTTTATTTAGAACTTGGTCCTTGCAAACCCTAAACCCTAAGCCCTTTCAACCCTACAAGGCAAACCAAACTTTACAAACACGAATCCGAGCCCAGTTCTACAGAACCCCCAAACCTTACCAAACCTTACCTGAAAAAAAAATAAATAACCAAAACAGAGGGGCCGGCTTCCTTCCAACGAGGGACCCAAATTGCATGGTATGCGAATTTACAAACAACCCTTAAGTTCCAAACTTAACTTCTACATGACGTCTCAGTCCATAACTTATAAAACTAACACCGAACTCGTACAGCCTAAGCTCTACATAAGAATTGAACCCCAAGACCGACGCTTTTCATAAGAATTGAACCCCAAAACCTAAGCTTTACACAAGAATTGAACCCCAAAGCCTACACTCTGAGCAGTCTATGAGCTTTCTCTTGGAAATCGTGTGTACAGCCATAGTTGCCCTCAACGGAGGACGGGCTCAAAACCATGTTTTCCTCAGCCCTAAAACTGAGGTTTAGGGTTGAGGGTTTAGGGTTTAGGGTCTAGGGTTTAGGGTTTAGGATTTGGGGTTGAGGGTTTTGGGTTTAGGGTCGAGGGTCTAGGGTCAAGGGGTTTAGGTTTAGGGTTTCGAGGAAGAGCTGAATACAAAATGTGTGGGGTGGCGGGCAGGTTATAGGGTGTCGGGGTGGTGTGGGTCCAAAACGCTAAACCCTCAAACCCAAGCCCTTAACCCGAAACCCATACCCTCTTGTGCCGCCCCTCTGCCTCCGTCTTCACCAATTCGAGCATCTCAATTTTTCGTAGAGTCTCCTGTGCATGTTGATTCTCTGACGACTCGGCCTCATCCGACTGATTGTTCCTCGCGGCCTCCTTGTCTGCCTTTTCCTTTGACCGGCGTTGGGCTGCTTCCTTGGCCCTTGCCCTTTGGATGCCGGTCGCCGGAGTTGTGCTAGTCTCGGTCTGCCCTGAAATGACGGGGCATCGCTCTAGGCAGCCCCAGCAGGATGCAAGTACCAGCTTGAGCCATAGCGTTTAGGGTTGAGGGTTTGGGGTTTAGGGTTTAGGGCTTAGGGCTTAGGGCTTAGGGTTCAGGGTTTAGAAGCTAGGAGCCTGCAAAAACCTGAAATCCGAACCTCGGTTTCAATCAACTGTCAACCTCCTGCACCTCCCGAAGCCCGAAACCCCAAACCCCAAAGTCTTCATCCCTGAACCCTAGGGTACCCTATACACAAAATCTCCCCATATTAGAATAGAATCCCCAAAAAGGGCCCTAATCTATCTTAAACCCTAAACCCTAAACCCGAAAACCTAAACCCTAGTTTTTCAATGCGCGGCGGAGGCTCTGCACGGAGCTCCTGGAGATTTTGAGGAGCTTTTTATGGTTTTCAGCTTTTGAGGGTCTGTAGGGCTTAGGGCTTAGGGCTTAGGGCTTAGGGTTTAGGGTGTAGGGTGTAGGGTGTAGGGTGTAGGGTGTAGGGTGTAGGGTGTAGGGTGTAGGGTGTAGGGTGTAGGGTGTAGGGTGTAGGGTGTAGGGTGTAGGGTGTAGGGTGTAGGGTTTTCAAGCGTATAAGGGGTTCTTAGGATTTAGGACTTAGGGCTTAGGTTTAGCCTCAGGGTTCCGGGCTGAGCGTGTGGGGCGTGGAGGTTTTTCCGGTGGTTAGGTGTTTAAGGTTTCGGTTGCTAAGGCGTGGGGCTTTAAAAATTCGCAGGGTTTGGTTTTGCAAGCCTTGGCATTCAGTCTAGGGTCCTCTTTATGGGCCCTTAATTTGGGGACCCTGTTCTAGAACCCTTATGTACACTTCAACCTTAGATTCAGGGTATATACTTTTCAAGGGTTAGGCTTCATGGCTTCGAACTCAAGATCAAGAATCGGAAACTTTGGGGTCAGGGTCACTGGCGGCTCAGCTTTGAGGTTAGGGTTTTTGGGTTGAAGGCCTGGGAGTTTCGCAATGGGGAACATTTCGAGTTTCGGTTAATTCGCTGAGAGCTTCAAGTCACTTCATCTGAGCAGTATGATTTTCCACCGAACCAAAACCATAGAAAATGGTTTTTCTGTTGTGAACTAGATCCAAAATAGCTCCTTCACCCCTACCAGCGGCGGGTGTATCTCACATCGGGTCGCGGAGAATACACATCACCCCTTTTGTGGACGCTACAAAAGCGCAAGTACACATCAGTAGTGGAAATCCACATCGGGGCAAAGCAACCCACAAGTAGACGCTGGGACTTAGGCAAGCCGCGAACATAGGTCAAACTGCCATAGTTGCTTGAGTATTCGGTTCAGGGACTCAGGGCTGAGAGGGCTTCAGGTATTGGGTTCAGGACTTTACACTGGCTTCATGGCTAGGAGTCATCAGTCATCGCGGCGGCGATCAGGGTGACCGAGACCCTTTCATTAAGATCTAAGTGGGCGATCCTGACATGCCCAAGCAACCCGTCACCTTTTCAAAAGGACCCCCCAAAAGGGACCCTAGTTCAGAAAGCTACCCATTGTAAACCCTAAACCCAAAACCCTAAATCCTAAACCCTAATCCTAAACTCTAAACCCTAAACCCTAAACCCTAAACCCGAAACCCGAATTGAGAGTACTATCCATCTGGAGATGTCGAACCGGCTGTGTCCTGTGCGGCATACTCCAGTGCCCCGCCGTTCTCCTGCACGGCCTTGAGCACCACCTGCGAGCAGCGGCCATACCCTTCTTGGGTTTAGGGTTTAGGGTTTAGGGTTTAGGGTTTAGGGTTTAGGGTTTAGGGTTTAGGGTTTAGGGTTTAGGGTTTAGAGGGTAGAGGGTTTAGGGTTTAGGGTTTAGGGTTTAGGGTTTAGGGTTTAGTGTTTAGGGTTTAGGGCTAGGTCTATTTTTTAGGGTTTAGGGTTTAGGGTTAGGGGTTTGTCGGCAGAAGCACAACGGTTCGCCGGCCTAGGCACAACGGTTCGTCGGCACAGGCACCTAAACCCTAAGCCCTCACCCCAAAGACCTAAACCCTAAACCCTAAACCCTAAACCCCAAACCCCAAACCCCAAACCCTAAACCCTAAACCCTAAACCCTTCCCAGAGAAAGGCCCCCCGGTGGCCTCCTTGTCTGCCTGGAGCTCGTTGGAGGCCCACCTGGGCCAACAAGACAGCGCCAAAGGGGCACACGCAGAAGGGTTTGGGGTTTAGGGTTTAGGGTTTAGGGTTTAGGGTTTGGGCTTTAGGGTTTAGGGTTTAGGGTTTAGGGTTTAGGGTTTGGGGTTTGGGGTTTGGGGTTTGGGGTTTGGGGTTTGGGGTTTAGGGTGCAGCCGCTCATCCAAGTCAGCAGCCTCAGGCGAAGATGTTGCACCATGCGGACCATGCGTCGCAACCATCCTGCCTCAGCCTCCAGCAAGGCCAACCGGCGCTCCATTTCGGGGTCGCTGATAGATCTGCGCGGCTGCGGCCTGGAGCTAACTTTGCCAAACGCACTCCTGCTGGTGCTGCCTTGGGAATCCTCCAGCTCGCAGAACTTGTGCCACACCTGCATTGGCTCCAGTGGCCAGGGGTCGCCGTGCATAGCGTCGATGAGCCCCTCCGTGCGGCGGAAGGCCGTGCAGTGGGTTTAGGGTTTAGGGTTTAGGGTTTGGGGTTTAGGGTTCAGGGTTTAGGGCTTTCGGGGTCGTATTAGCACGAACAAGAAGTGTGGTAGCAAAAGCAAGAAGATGAGAATCCACGCAAATCCACGCAGTTCGTGACACAAGAACAAGATAAGGATCAATCGAAGTAACAGTGACAACTTCATGGTACTAAACGTCTGAATAATAACCCCTAAACCCTAAACCCCTAAAACCCGCAACCCAAACCCTAAACCAAACGAATCATGCCAGTAGCAGAGAGACTCAGGGCCAAGCATCAGCGCAGTGCCACTCTTTGAAACTGCGCACATGACGACCTGTCCACGTGTGCATGGCATAACTACTATATGCTTAAGAACCCCCAAAAAATATATAAACAAATACTAATAATGATGATAATAATCATAGTAGTAATAGTAGTAAGAAGAAGAAGAAGAAGAATCATAACAATAATAACAATAGTAATAATAATGATGATAATAATGATAATAATAATAATAATAACAATAATAATAATAATAATAATGGTAATAACAATAACAAAATAACAATACCCATAACAATAACAGTACAAATAGCAATAACAATAACAATAACAATAACAATAACAATAACAATAACAATAATGAACATGAGGAGAATAGTACTCATCCCTATATTGCCCTCAGAAGGAAGAACAGCTTTTTCTTAGCCATTTACTGGGGAGTTCTTAAGCAAACAAAAGTAGATAGAGATCGAACCTCTGGCTGGTTCAGGGTTTCAAGGCCTCTTGGGGTTTAGGGTTTAGGGTTTAGGGTTTAGGGTTTAGGGTTTAGGGTTTAGGGTTTAGGGTTTAGGGTTTAGGGTTTAGGGTTTAGGGTTTAGGGTTTAGGGTTTAGGGTTTGGGGTTTGGGGTCTAAACAAAATGTGATCCGTCATTAGAGGTGAGGAACCCCACAAGCCTAAGCCCAAAAACTCGAAACCCCGAAACCCTAAACCCCGACAGGTAAGCGCCGGCTGTGGATGAGTCCCTCTCTCCCTCCCGAGCCCCTAAGACTCAAACGTACCGAATTCAGGAGACTAAAGGGGAGACGTATTGCCACGGTTTAGGGTTTAGGGCTGATTTTCAGTTCTTCTGAGGAACTTCTACTTAGATCCATATATATAGAGAGAGAGAGAGAGAGAGAGACGACCGTGCTGCCATCGGCTGGACAAGGTCTATTTCTCTGGCTGAACTCTAAACCCTAAACCCTAAACCCTAGACCGTAAAGCCTCAGCCCACAAAGCTGCAGCATGAATTTAGCCTACACGATGGCTGCATTCTCCGGACGCATCGCTGCAGGGCTCAGACAGAGCCGACTCTTCTTTAAGGGGCTCCTCATATTGGGCCATACTGGTACGTCACGAGGGCTCAGGGTTAGTAGAATAGGTCTGTTGGATCGTTTACAGAGACGAATGACTGGCCAATACCAATGCCAGACCCTAAACCCTAAACCCTAAACCCTAAACCCTAAACCCTAAACCCTAAACCCTAAACCCTAAACCCTAAACCCTAAACCCTAAACCCTAAACCCCAGCGCCTCCCAGTCGCTTCGCAGCTCCAGCGGGGCATACTGCAGCGCCAGGCCTCGCAGGTGGGTTGGGGGTTCTTTTAGGGTTTAGGGCTTAGGGCTTGGGGCTTGGGTGTCCTGAAAGCATAACAATATACTAAGGATCCTACCATGATTGAGGGAATATCTCTGTTACTCACGGGGGTTGGAGGTTTAGAGGGGGCTCTGGATTTGAGGGCTTGCGTGGGGCATGACAGGGCTTATGTGGCTTGAGTTTTGGGTTGATTCTTTGGGGATTATTTAGGGGCTACTGTGGCATATAAGTATACAAGGTTTATATAAGGGTTATATAGGGGAATAAGATTAAGGGTCCCTTCCAAGGGGTCCCTCCTTCTAACCCTAAACCCTAAACCCCAAACCCTAAACCCTAAACCCTATACCCGCTTGTGGGCTGAGCGCTGGGCCATTGGCCCAACAAGCTTCGGCGACAAGCTCGCGATCGCCACCTGGGTAGTGAATGGGCTTAGGGTACTTATAATCCAATAGGGTTTAGGGTTTAGGGTTTTGGGTTTAGGGTCTAGGGTTTAGGGGTACATATCAACCAATTATAACTGTACTTATAACCCACTGATAAGACCCTTAAGTGCCCTAATATGGTTGTAAGTACAATCAAGTAGTGAATGGGTGTAGAGTATAGGGGGGTTTAGGGTTTGGCAGATTTTCAAAAATGACCATACAGGGCTTTGAGCTGGGAGGATAGGCATCTGTGGGGGTGCCTCAAAAATGTGCGCCTACCAGGTATACAGGGCTTTGCATCTGACACGACCCTTCCTGTCTTTCTAGTTCAAGAGAGGCTGGCTCAGCAGCACGTGAAATTGGTTTGGGGTTTAGGGTTTAGGGTTTAGGGTTTAGGGTGTAAGGTTTAGGGTTTAGGGTAAGCACCTCATGCTAGCAAAAGCAACCTCGCTCCACGCGCATTGCTTTTGGCGGCTGTCGCGTGTCGAGACCCCTGAATTTCGCGAGCACCGAATTGCTGCGGGGCAGAAGAGAGCTTGGAGGGCATGCCTGTATCCATGTTTGGGCCCCAAACCCGAACTATCTCAACCCTAGACCTACGTTTTAGGGTTAGGTTTTAATTAGAGTTTAGGGTTTAGGGCTTAGGGTTTGGGGTAAAGGGTTTAGGGTTGTCTGGACCCCAAACCGCCGGAACTCCCTAAACCCGAGACCCGAAGCACCAACAACAGACTCAGAGAGTCCCATGCTCCAGGATGAGTTTAGGGTCCAGGGTCCAAGGTTGAAGACTGACATCACATGAGCTACTCAGAATACCGGTTCTAGTTCGATGGCCCCTAAACGCTAGCCTCTCAATCCTAAACCCGAAACCCTAAACCCTTAACCCGAAGCTGGGAAGTTGAAACATTTAGGGAATCAAGACACTTTCGGAGCCGATGTGCACAGGCTGGGAACCTTCCGGTTTCGGGTTTAGGGTTCAGGGTTTAGGGTTTCGGGTTTCGGGTTAAGGATTTGAGCTTTAAGGATTTAGGGCTGGTCCCCCCGCAGCCTCTTCCGGCCCCTCCGAAATGCACTCGGCTAGTTTTCCGGACTCTGCAATCCAAGTCGAGGATGTTGGGCTCACGGGGTTGAGAGTTTGGGATATGCGGTTCAATTTAGGGTTTAGGGTTTAGGGTTTAGGGTTTAGGGTTTAGGGTTTCGGGTTTCGGGTTTAGGGTTTAGGGTTTACGGTTTAGGGCTTGGGTCTTAGAATTTAGGCTGGTAGGTTTTGGGGCCTATAAATATTAAATTATTATGGCTTTACAAGGATGATATAGGGATTCCCTAAACCCCAACCTGCGAGCAAGGCCCCTGATTAGCTGCCGGCAAGGCAGCGGGCCGCAGCGCGCCAGCCGACGAGTGACGGCAGCCGACAACTGAGTAGCGACAGTCCTCATTAGTGCCAGAAGAGTGAGGTTCTGGCACCGTAACGCACTCCTTCCAGCTTTGAAAGAGACGTCCCTACAGCTAGGATTTTTAACTAGAATTTGGGATTTAGGACTTAGGATTTAGGATTTTGGATTACTTTGGATTTAGGAGGTTAATACTTAGACTCTAGGATTTTCCCTCCTTACGGGGGGGTAGGGGGGGGTACCCGGGCAGCTTTTCCATGGAGGGCCAGGCCACCCACACCGCATCAACTCACGGACCATAGGCGGTTTCAGCACAGGACATAGGGGCTGCCCCCAAACCCCCTCCCCCCCCTGACACCGCCCTTCCCCCCCCCCCCCTAGCAACATTGTGCCACAGACACACGCACGCCCTTGCTTGAGCGATATTAGTAGGCGCAGTTATGTTGCTGTCTTGCTCTCGAGCAGTCGCTGCGACAAGAAGAAACACCGCAAACTCGCGAAGCAGGAGCCCGTCTGGCGGCTTTGAAAGACGTGCAGGCTGGAAGAAAATGAGGTGGATAGGAGCACACTTCCATTGAAAGTGTTCATCGTAATCCCCGTCCCTGCCAGGGAGAAGGCTGCACAGTGGTCGGAGGTCGGGAGCGCTGCGCGTTCACGCTTCCCGCGCAGCAGCTGCGGTGAGACTTCCCGAGGGATGCGAACCGGATTGATCTCATCAACGAACGCGCACGGCTTAAGAGGCTTGGGGTCGGCGAGGAAGCAGCCCTGTCTGCTTCACCCTTGTGGGCCCGACCCTGTTCCTCACCTCGGCAAGCACGTTCGCAAAAA